CAAGTTACTCTATTATAGCTTCTCCTTATAAAGACAAATAACATGTGTTCACAACTTAAATGGATTCATCAGGGTGCTCCTTGTAAGCTCATATACACTCAAAATTTACTGCAAGCCAAGTGGCTTATGAATTGCTGCTTTAATTTAAGTGTTGTGAATGATCCTGTTACATTTTAAATGAGTTTTTAAACCATTTTAAGCTTGCCGATTTGAATAAATCAGCAAAGTAATTCACCGTCTTAGAAGTATAGGTTTTACAATTCATAGGTAAGTGTTTATGATGATCTCTAAGAAAAATATCCCAAAAAGAAGCAAAAATGTTTTAATACACCTTCCCTGATTGAATGATATGGAACTAGGTCTGCAGAGGATTTGACTCCTGTATCTTTAGTACACTCTGAAATGACTACTAAACTTCAGATCAAAATACTATTTTTTTAAAAATTCCATAATAATAGCAGAGGTTTAATTACTGAGCTATAACAAGAATTTTGAAAAAATAGGCGACCACCAAAAGAAATCCCCAAAAGAGACTCATTTGTGGAACTGAAAGCCCTAACTACAGAGAGACAAGGTACATGAGGTAATCTTTCATTTAAACGGGTCTTAGCTCAGACACTCTCTGCTTTCTTCCCCAGACCTGAAGAAGAGCTCTGTGTAGCTCAAAAGCTTGTACAGGTTGGACCTCCCATGTCCAGCACCCTTGGGATAGATGGTTCCCAGATGAGGGATTTTGCCAGACCAGGGAAGATCATTTCTCCTCCATCCCTGACCACTGGATCTCCCAGCCAGGTCCTGCCACCAACCTCTCCAGGCACATGGCTCCTTGCCCCACTGTGGCAGCCCCACCACTGATCAACCTCGCTGCTGGGCTCCCTGCTCCACAGAGCAGCCACTGCTTGAATTGGTTGTGCCACTGGGCGGCATCTCTGCTGCTGGACTCCAGCCCCGTGGGGCAGCTCCATTGCCTCCCAGCCTTGCTGGGCAGCTCTGCCAGGCAGCAGTGAGGCTGACCGGCTGTTTGCTGGGCCACCTGGTGTCAGCTCCACTCCCAGTTTCCCAGCCCAGCAGTTGGGTTCCCACTGTGCTTTAGTGGGGCTGCTGGGCAGCTCAGCTTCTCCTGGCTTTGCCCCCTTCCCCCTCAGACAGTGTTTCCACCAGGCGGCAGCCTGCTGCTGGGCTCCTGGCTTCCCTGCAACATGGCAGCCCCACTACTGGGCTCAAGCCTGGCTGCAGGGCTCTCAGCCACCAGCTCTCCCACCTACTACTGATATGTAGGCAGCTGGCAAGCAGAGATACAGCTGGCAGCAGATAGAAAACGTGGGACTTATAAGATATATTGAGGCACCTGCAGGAGAGCTTAACTTTGGACTGTCCCTTTAAAAATGGGACATCTGATCACCCTGTCTTTAAGGCATCTGACATTAGGATATTCAAAATCATCAGTCATGTTTGAAAATCAAGCTGTTTAGAATGATGGATTGCTGACATTTTGCTTAACAATTTTGCCCTTTCAGGAATGAATGTAAATGATTAATTTCCTACAGTAGGTCAAGGACATTTGCAGAAGTCCCAACATCTGGCACATACCTATAGACCTGCAATTTAACTTCTTTGCAAAATCTTCAATGACTTATTGGGCCTGTTCATGTGGAGGATGGGATCCAGATGGAGAGTGATTGTTCTTGTGATTAAAGGATAGGACTGCTATTCAAGTCCTGTAGTTACCTTGGTTAAACTGGGTGTCTTAGTTAATAAAATGGGGCTAATAATCCCCTATTCAGTGACTATTTGAATTTAAATTAACTTTTGTTAGATGACAGTGGCTATGGAAATGTACTGTTACATTGCTGGGCTGCTACCTGAAGATGACCTAGATAATATATAAAGAGAATTATAAAACGTGACTAACTGATCTCTTGTTACTTAACTAGCCTTTCTAAACAAATATATCAAAATTTAAATATCCTTCACATTTCAAACAAATGGATGTAGTTTCAATAGAATATTTCTATATAGTAAACACATTGTTTTTAGTCTCTGCTAAATTTTCTATTTCTGTAGTCCACTCTGTTTTCACTGTGGCTACATGTACACTGCCAGTTTTTGCAGCAGAAAATATGCTAATGAGAAGTCATTAGCATAATTCACAATATAATTAGCATATTGTCTGCCGTTTCTTTTTGTGCAAGCGGCTACACTGCTTCTTTTTGCGCAAAAACCCCTCGTGCAAAAAGAAACGGCAGAAAATATGCTAATGATATCATGACTTATGCTAATGAGTCCCTCATTAGCATATTATCTGCCACAAAAACTGGCAGTGTAGACAAAGCCTGTAAGAAAGCTGCAGTGAAGCAACTTAAGACTTAACTCACATATACATGAATCTTCATCAGTGAAATCCCTTGGGCTCTCTGCTCAGTAAAGATTGAAGAAACTCAAGCTAGTACATTCATCTAAAGGATGCTGAATGCGCAGGGCTTGACGAACGGCGGCGAAAGCTGCTCGCCAGCCCCGCACTGCGCATGTGCAAGACCCACATTGCGCATGCGCATGCTGCAAATAAACGGGGAGCCCGGCTGAAATCTACTTGCCACAGGCGAGCAGATTCAATACTTTGTTGAGCCCTGTGAATGCGGTATTATGCTTTGTGACTTTTAAACAGCACTGAAAGACAGTCCAAAATAGTTTTGGCTGCAAGTAATGCACACATTCAAAATATACCACTGATGGCTGTAAAAGGTACTCAGACATCTATAAGAACAATCTAATATGGTTCTCTCATTTAAATTTATTGTCAGACGATTAGTCTCAGAAGCTTTCAATTTTGTCTAGAGTGAATGAAATTAATCCATTTCATATAAATGCCTGAAGGACATAATTTTTCCTTTGACTTAGGAGACAAAAGTTTAGATTTTTGAGCCTCTCACTCATAATGATGTGTAGTTATGCACAAAAGCAGTCACATTATAATCAATATGTAAAGGTGTTGCAGTCTACCCCTACACTGTGATAAGACCAGGAACATGGCTGTAGCTGGCATGGGTCAGCTGATGCAGGCTTGTAGAGCGATAACATTGCTGTGTAGATATTCAGGCTCTGGGACCCTCCTCACTCATGGAGTTTTAGAGCCCATGCTCCAGCCCAAGCCCCGAGGTCTTCATAGCAGTTCTACAAACCTGCAGCCCAAGCTGGCTGACCAAGGCCAGGCATGGGTCTTCTGTGTCTGTGATTATTAGAATATGACCACGTCTTCAAAGAGAAGACATCATTAGAAGTTTTTTAAACAATTATTCATGTACAAATAGAAATGTACACTTGTGTATGGGTACCCTACAAATGGGTTACACCTTTTCCCCCAGATATCAAAGCTATAACTAGCTCTTCATGAAAAGACAATAAGAAGACAGGGAGAGATAAAGAACTTTTAAAATATTTTATAATCAAAAATAGAACCAAGAACAGAGAGAGCTTATTTGTAATGAAGAAAAAATTCCATCATGTATACAAATATTTAAATAAAACAAATTTTTAAATGGTACATTTAAATATGGCTATGATGGTCCTGGATTCCTCCTCTGTAAGGTTGTGGAAGAAAAACCACCATATGTGGAACATTACTAGGTCATTATCTGCATCCAGCTTGTCTTCCATGTGTTGGTTCAATTTCATAATCAGTTCATTGCATGTGTCTCAGTATATCTAATGGCATAGTATCTGCCATAGGGAGAAATTCATCCTCCTTATGTTGGCCACATCTCAGGTAGAAGTAACCTGAAGAAAAGGAGGAAAAAAAACTGTTACGTGTAAACAATCACCACTGTAAACAACTAACACGGATATATGCCATGGGTCAATATGGCAGAAGAAGTCACATCTTGTGATTGCACAATACTTACTGATGCTCTTTCTTATCCTCCAAAATCAGCTTCCGGTGTTTTGGTACCAACCATTAGGGCATCGCTGAAATATGAAAGAGATGGGGAAGTTCTGCAGATTAGGGATCAGATGAGCTACTTCAGCTTCCCATCTGCAGCTCTGATCACGTATTTTTCCTGTGTAAAGCTGAAAAACAAAGTCCCCCTTAGAACATCTGTATTTTCCATACCACAGGTCAAAAGGACACTCAGGATTATTCTTGTTGTATGTCAACAGTCACCAATGCAACAATAAAATAATGAATCTATGGAACTCTTCAACAATTAATTTAAATGCTTGTGTGTCACAGGCATATTTTTAGAGTGTGCAGAAGACAATTGATCAATTAAGGAATCGTCAAACACACTTATTTTTTGTAATATCTCTGCTAGTTTATGATCAAAGTGAAAATTTTAAACAGGTTTCAGTGAACCTCTGCAATATGTAACTTGTATCACCAAATCTGTAGGAAAAAAATGAAACTTACCTTCATTCCATAGACCATCTATAGTGTTATCTGCTCATGTACCAGGTCCTCACAGCCAGGGCTGATGCTGGAGAAGTGGTGTTTCTCTGTTTTCTACATGGACCCTCACTGTCCACCTTCCACCTGGCTCAGAATAGCTTTGGGAGGTTTGAGCAGAGGTGAGTGTTTGAAGCTGGCCCCTGTTAACTTATTGTTTCCCCATCTCATCTGAAAGCAGCATAGGTATGGGCAGCATCTCCAGCCAGCAATCCGTAAAGGGTTGGCAGATGCCCTTAACAGTGTAGGGGTAACTTTGTAGAGTACATGGTGGGTGGCAGCATCTTGCACTGTGTTGTCATGTAGCATAATAGGTCACTCTCTATGGTTTTGGACAACAGGTGAATGTAGGTAAATATATTTCCTGGTCAAGTAGTACAATGAGGATGACAAGTTCATTGGTACTGAGGGGCAATGTGGCACCATATTTCAGTTGAAGACAGGACAAATGATAATTATATACTAAGTTATTTGGAAATTTTTTGTTAATGCTTTCTCTTATGGGCACATTGCCTTATTAGCAATACAAATACATGAAATATTAGCTTGAATCAATTACCTGGACTTTATTCATCTCTGGTTTGCCCTTCTCATCAATAGCTTTCTCAGCTGCCTTTTTTTGACGGTGAGGGCCTTTTCCAAAGAATATGTAGTTTACAAAGGCATATTCCAGCAAGGCCAGAAATACAAACACAAAGCACCCCATCAGGTAAATATCTATTGCCTTTACATAGGGAATCTTTGGCAGTGTCTCCCTGAGGTGAGTGCTGATTGTGGTCATGGTCAGCACAGTTGTGATTCCTGTGAAGTAAAAAAAAAAAAGTTGGCAAGGAAATTCTGAAATGTTTTTCATCACACTGAAGGCATAAAAGCTGAATCATCGCTCAAACACATTGGCTGCATCTAGACTGGCAAGTTTTTCCGCAAAAGCAGGTGCTTTTGCAGAAAAACTTGCCAGCTGTCTACACTGGCCGCTTGAATTTCTGCAAGAACACTGATGATCTCATGTAAGATTGTCAGTGCTTCTTGCAGAAATACTATGCTGCTCCCGTTCGGGCAAAAGCCCTCTTGTGCAAATACTTTTGCGCAAAAGGGCCAGTGTAGACAACGCGGTATTGTTTTGTGCAAAAAAGCCCCGATGGCGAAAATGGCGATCGGGGCTTTTTTGCGCAAAACCGCGTCTAGAGTGGCATGGACGCTTTTCTGCAAAAAGTGCTTTATAATGCCAATCTAGACACTCTTTTCCACAATGCTTTTAATGGAAAAACTTTTCCGTTAAAAGCATTTGTGGAAAATCATGCCAGTCTAGACGTAGCCAACAGGGTTATGACATAGCTGGCTTACTTATTTCATCAGAGATTCCTAACCATTAAGGGCATGCATTTGTCAGCTAGCAAAAAATATTACTGGCATCAGGACAGTCTATCAGGCAACATATTAGGTTTATATACATGAACTGGTTGTGAAGGGAGCTAGTGAAGTGGAAAGTGGGAAATTTGAAAGAGCAGATGCCTTCATTAAGTGACATATTAAATTGCAATTTTTGCAGGCCTCAGTGGCTAACCACCTTACATTTTCCATGGGGGTAGGGACAGTTCATTACCTGACCACTCTATTCTTCTCCAGTTTCATTTGTAGATTTCCCTGTTTTTTGCAGGGAGGCGGGGGGCACTTAAGACCTTTTCCAAAGGAAATGTGGTTTACAAAGGCACATTTCAGTGCTGGCTGATGTAGTGACTACAGAACCAGGGATGTTATGGAGAAGACAGATGAGAGAATGCTGCTAACTTGATTCTTAAAGTAGCCATCCTGCCTGATCCATATAATGGAACTAAATTAACCAGTGTTCTTCAAGTCAGAGTAAGTATCCTAGCTAGAGGGAAGTTAATAGGAGTAATTTTGACTAAGGTAGAGAGTTGAGGGGATAAATGGAGGTTCCAAAATGGCATGGTGGGCATTGGTGTAGGTAGGTTCCATCATAAGAGCACTCTTAGGATGTGTCTACACTACACCATGATTCAAAATAAGATATGCATTTGAGCTACGCAAATTCGCATATCTTATTTTGACGCTATTTCAAAATAGTTGATTTCATCATTTGATGCTGTCTACACAGTGCTAAATTTTGAAATAAAGCGCTATTCCGAAACATCCATTATTCCTCATAGAATGAGGTTTACAGGGACGTCGGAATAGTGAGCCCAAAATAATGTACTTGCTGTGAAGACGTAGGATAGCTATTTTGGGATACTCTGGTATCTCAAAAGAACGTTGCTGTGTAAATGTACCCTTAATTAATCTTCAAAGGGATTATTTTATTCTATGAGATTAAACTTTTCCAGCTCATGGTTTTGTAATTTATCAACCACAATGTGATTAAATTTTTAGTTTGGTCTGTGAGAATGAAACCATTTTCTATTTTGTTCTAATCACAGGCCATTAATATAGCTAATGAATAGCTCTGGATTCATTCATTCATAATGAGCTCCAATTAAATGAGACTAGGAACAACACGATTTACTGCAGTTAGCCTTTGAAAAAAATATAAGCTTAAACCACAGATAGTCCTTATAAACTATGGTAAGATGTTGAGGATCTCTTCTGATTGCTCAGATAAAATTGTAGCAGGTAGCATGGTATCACCATATGAGCTGGCATATAGGTGAAACACAAGGTCAAGTTTTCAATCACTGTGAAGCAAGATAGTCCCATTGAACTCAATGGGGCCATGCTGACTTCTACAAATCAGTACTCAAGCCACTTTAATAGCTTTGAAAATAAATTACCTAGGGCAACTCTTGCAGCAGAGGCATCATAGTTGATCCAAAAAGATACCCACGATAGAATTGTGATCAGTGTGGAGGGCATGTAGGTTTGCAAAATGAAGTAACCAATATTTCGTTTAAGCCGAAAGCTAAGTGATAATCGAGGATATGCCCCTGAAAGAAGGACGAAAGTGACATTATGAAAACTCCATTCAATGTTTTCCATTTCTGTGTCAGGTGCAGTTTTTGTGATGCTCAGTGCTCACCTGTTGTAAATTCTACTTTTTTTGATACCATTTTGTAATCCACAATTGAGAACTGTGGGAGCTCAATATTATTAACTCCTGTTACTGCAGATTCCCCTCCATTCCAGTAAAATTCAATATCATCAGTGGTGTATCCATCTAAAACAACAAAACATAATTTCACTCTGGTCAGTTGATTTTTTAAACCATATTTTTTAACAAGGAAGAAGCCATCCTCTATTTATTCTGGGTTTGGAATGCTTGTTTTTAAAAATGTAGCTACTTGAAACATGAGTTCAATGTGCTTTTTAATAAGGCAATATGTAAGAGAATGGATATGCAGAAGACTATAAAGAAAAATACAGAAAGATTAGGGGTAAAGCTGATAGTACTGCCTGTAATTAAGTTTTCCCAGCTTGTCCCATTAAACCCTGTTTTGAGTACTTACAATTTTGCCAAACTGTAATTGTTCAGTTAACAATTTGTATGCAGGGTGTTTGCTGCAGGCTACATTTTTTGGAGAGCTTCACCAGAAATGGTTCAGCCACTTCCAAGAATAGTTTAGGAAATGATTTAGTTCCTTGTACATTATAGTGTAGTCTTTATGTAATCACATGCTATTTTTAACATAGGACCCCTGCCTCATTTAGTGCACTGAATGAACCTGCTCTGGGAATGAATCAAGGCTGTGCAATGAAGGAGGCCTTCTTTATTATGGAGGTTGGCTGGTGTGTGATGAATGAAGCTGGGGATTACAGGAGGAGAGAAAAGGCAGCCTCATGGTTAAGGCAGGGGAATGCTGGAGAATCCCTGCCTCTGTCACAGGGGTTCTGTTGTCATGCCAGCCAAGTCACTGAAAGCAAACTTTTCACAAGTGACCACTAACTGTGCCCTTATTTTCCGAGCACCCAGCTTGAAACATCTTGTCTGATTTGCAGAAGTACTGAGCTTTCACATCTATAGCTAAAGTGAACGGAAGCTGTGCCTTGAACAAAATGTGTTGTATAAGCTAAATACTCTGAAAAATCCAGGCTGTAGGTGTCTTAATTGGGAATCCAAGGTTAGCAGATACCTTTCTCATCTTAATCTCTGTGCCTCAGTTCCTTATCTGTAAAATGGGGATAATGCCCTACGCCATATGTGGAGTCATGAAAATTAATTGTTTGTGAAGCATTCAGATACTATGGTGATGAGCACAATAGAAAAACCCAGAAGGAAATGAGAAGCAACATCTTTAGAGCAAGGTTTGAATAGTGTGCAAATAAATAAGGCCTGGGGCCACACACTGAGCAATAACAAAGAAACAGAATATTGAACAGCTGCTCATTAAATGAGCTCTGTCTGTTCTGTGCAGTAAATGAGGCTGGGCTCCTGGGGAAAAATAGTATGTGTTCTAAAGATTCTATCATAATGCACATGCACAAGGAAGGTGGGGGGCAAATACAGTTGCACTAGTACCTAAACTCAGGGGTTCAGGTGGGTCTGAGCTCACCTAGCCTGAGCCTCTGCTGCTGCTTTTTTGGTCTTTCTACCTGAGCAGGAAGGCTCATTCCCAGGTGCAATGCAAATAAATCCTCTCTGTGCCTGGCCCACTACTCTGGCTGATAAATCAGGGCAGCCCTAGTCTCCTTCACACACTTCCCTCTACTTTGCTTACACTTTGGAGTACCAAGTAAGTAATCAAATGAGTTCTTATGCCTCCTTACTTGCCTGCATAGCCGAGTGAGGCCTGTGAAATTTAGTCCTGTGTTTTGTTTTTTTCCTACCTGGACACTTTGCTGCTTTCATGCCATATCTTGTAGTTGTATTTTTTATTATTGGAGTCACTTAATGCCTTCTAAGCATCTGAGAGATTAATCCTGAGTGTTTAAGTCATTTGTTCATTTCTTCGATACATGCTACACTTTGAATTCTGAAACTGCAATACATATCAGTTGGATTTGGTTTTATATTTATGTTGCAGCCAAGAAGCTCTCTCTTCTAGAACTTTTGCAATTATCTTGAGTAAACTGTGCTGTTCCAGAAAGGGATCAGGAACCATACTGGGATTGTTATTGACTTCCCCATATGGTCATTGGTTCCCCTCTTCTCCAGAGGGAAAGTAGTTGTCTTCCTGAAAAAGGTAAATATTTGATAAGACTTAATTTAAACGATACCCTATATCTGAATTCAGACTTTATAGTACAGTTAGCTGCGCTTTTGCCATGGTGGCTACTTTGCCATATAAAGCTTTAAAAACATATTTTAGGTGTGTTAACAGTATATTTTCTACTTAGAAAGAAAAGTGAAAAATGTAATTTTTCTATTACAGAGCCTTACTGTAGCCTAGTCTTCTTAAAGGCTAAATACATGGTTCAGGTAGGTGCAGTTTCCCTAGCAACAATAAAGAAGCCAGAGTGCTCAGAGCTTGCTCTTTGACTCATGGGACAGCTTAGTAAATATCTTTTGATGCAAATATTTGCGATGAATTGAACAAAGGAAAATGCTAACATGTCTTAGCTATTTGTGAACTACTGAATACCATCTTTTGCTCACCACCTGCATGGCTTCCAGATAGTTTAGCACAGCTGTTTAGATGAGAGAGAATTGCTGGCTTCCCACTGCGCATTTGAACATCACTCAAGTGACCCCATAGTTACTAGGGATCTCCTGTTTTAGGGCTGTCATGCAACACTGCTGAGCACCATTGGTTTCCATAGGTTTCAAGTGGGTGTTAAGAGCACTTGATACATTGCTTGATCAGACTCTTCATCTGCTGGTAAAACTGGCTTTAATACAGGTCTGGGGTGGGGTGGAGAAGACCCCTATTTTGGAAAAAGCTAAATATTGTGTGTCTCTGTGCTTGCTTTTTTTCTGTAAAAAACCTGAAGGCTGTGTCTACACTGGCATGAATTTCCGGAACTGCTTAAAACAGAATACTATTCCGTTTTCAGTTTTTCCGGAAAAGGAGCATCTACATTGGCAGGCTGCTTTTCCGGAAAAGCCCTTTTTCTGGAAAAGCGTCTGTGGCCAATGTAGATGTGCTTTTCCGGAAAAGAGCCCTGATCGCCATTTTCGCGATCGGGGCTTTTTTCCGGAAAAGACTACTGGGCTGTCTACACTGGCCCTTTTCCGGAACAGTGTTCCGGAATAAGGACTTATGCCCGAGCAGGAGCAGAATAGTTTTTCCGGAATAGCGGCTGATTTTGTACAGTAGAGCATCGTTGCTTTTCCAGAAATTCAAGGGCCAGTGTAGACAGCTCGCAGCTTATTCCGGAAAAGCGGCTGATTTTCCGGAATAAGTGGCCCAGTGTAGACACAGCCGAAATGTCTAAAAATAGCAGTTTCTCTTTCTTTGGTTCATTTTACATACATTTTTTCAGACTTTACTGCTAGGTCCAAATGACAATTTTAGGGTGGTTTGATAATGCTAGAAAGTGACTAATGGAAATTCTAATTTAAAAGGTGAACTTAATCTGCACAAGTATAAAAAGGTGAAGGAGACATAATGGTTTTGAATGAAGGGGATAGAATATATTATAACTCTGCTCTAACAGATGAAAGTAGGTGTAGCTAATTAAAAAGTAATGCGGACTACAGATGGTTTAGAGCCAGCAGCCACCCTCATTGCTCACGTTGAGTGGCACCTTACTCTAGAATTAGTTCCACAAAATTAAGTGACTTACCCAAGGCCAAATGGTAATGCTGGGAACTGAACCAGGATGCCCCAATTCCAGTCCAGTTCCTTCCCTAAAAGACACTTCCTTCCTGCTCTACAAATTACACTTAAAGAACCTTTTTACATGTTAAGGTTCTGTTCTGTTATTTCTCAGGTTACTGTTATGTGTGTATCTGTATGAGGACACATCTAAACTACATTCCTCTTTCGAAAGAGAAATATAAATGAAGCCAATTGAAAATTCAAATGAAGTGTGGATTTACAAATCTCGTGCTTCATGTGCATAATTGCATGAGAGTGCTTTTTCAAAAGAGGGGTTTTTGAAAAAAACCCACAGTCTAGACAGGGTTCTTTTTTGGGGGAAAAAAAACAACTCTCTTTCGAAAGAACCCGTACTCCTGAAAAAATAAGGTGTACAGATTCTTTCCTCCTCCCTCCCCCCCCCCAAAAAACCCCCGTCTAGACTGTGATTTCTTTTTTGAAAAACCCTTTTTCAAAAAACCCTTTTTCAAAAAAGTGTTCTCACGTGATTATGCAAATGAAGTGCAAGACTGTAAATCCATGCTTCATTTGAATTTTCGATCGTCTTCATTTATATTTCTTTCGAAAGAGGAATGTAGTTTGGACAAGAGCTGTAGTTGTGGGCCTGGACCTTGTTGTGCTAGGCACTATCCAGTCACAAATCAAAAGTCCCAGCTCCAAAGAGATTGCAATTCAAGTACAATGTAAGGGGAATCCAAGGAAACAGACAATATATACCCAAATAAGTAAGGTGGGGGAACGGGTATAACACAACTAGCATGAACAATGTAATGATGGCAAATATGTTAATTCCATAGTTATTTCTGGGGTGGGTTTACTTAGGAGGGGTTTAGCTAAACAGGACGAGGTGGGGGCGGCAGAGGGCAAGGAGGCAGGTATGAGGAGTGCTGAAGTGGAGAGACTGCAAGGAATGGTGAAGGACGGAAGAAATAGCCAATCAGCGCATGGCAGATGAAGTCCAAAAACAGTCTCCGGTTCTGCCTGCTTTTAGGCCTAACAGCTGGAATTTCTGGCTAGTTGCTTTCTGCAGTTGTCCCCCAAAGTCTGCATTTGGTGCAGAGCTGCTACCTGTGATGTGAGTCACTTGACAGAGATGGCAAAGATACAATCTAACCCACTGTTAATTGGTTTTTTTTTATAAATTTTCTTTCCTAATTTAGGCACTGCAGATTTCAGAGGAGTATTTTTACCATTTAAAAATGGTAAGCAAGAGAGAAATTACAAACAAAGCCATCCCTTTTAATTCAGGAGCCAGATAGGTATAACAAAATGGCAGAAGAGCTTTTTAGAAGTGACTGGTTTGGGGATGTGGCAAAAGGGACACATGGATAACAACGCTTTTCATATTTGTTAAAGCTCAGGCAATTTTTTGTTTTGCCCTTTTTGCTTGGAAAAGGGCTTTGAACCTGGGTGTCTCCTATCCCTGTGAGAGCTAATAGACTGGTGAAAAGAGCAATCT